ATGCCACTACACACAACAACAAAAAACCACACACCCAACTTCAATGGGTGGGTGGGCGATCAGCCTCTCTCCTAACACTGCAGCCATCTAACACACGTCAACCGATCTATTCATACTTTTATCACTTGCACTGGGCGGCATTCAGAGGGAGAGGGAGGGAGAGAGAGAGGAAGAGAGGGAGAGAGAGGGAGAGAGAGAGAGAGAGGGAGAGGGAGGGAGAGAGAGGAGTAGAGTAGAGGAGATAAAGAGAGAATGTGGGAGTTAAGGGGTATCTCTAACACTTTGGGTCGTTTTCTAAAATCATTTCTCTCATTTCCCCCAAGTGTTGTGGAAGTACTGGTGTTTAAGTCAAAGTCTGTTAAGTAGACTTCATTTGACGGTTCAAAGAGAGAGCACATTTCTCATGACATGGGATTTTCTTCCATTTGTTGTTGTGGTCGTTGTTGTGGTTGTTGTTGTGGTTGTTGTTGTGGTTGTTGTTGTGGTTGTTGTTGTGGTTGTTGTTGTGTGTTGGTCAAGTGGTCAAAGTTTAGCGAGAGACGTTGTGTTCAGTGAGTATTTCTTTCTGTGTTCCCGTCAGACGTTGTGTTCAGTGAGTATTTCTTTCTGTGTTCCCGTCAGACGTTGTGTTCAGTGAGTATTTCTTTCTGTGTTCCCGTCAGACGTTGTGTTCAGTGAGTATTTCTTTCTGTGTTCCCGTCAGACGTTGTGTTCAGTGAGTATTTCTTTCTGTGTTCCCGTCAGACGCTGTGTTCTCAGTGAGTATTTCTTTCTGTGTTCCCGTCAGACGTTGTGTTCAGTGAGTATTTCTTTCTGTGTTCCCGTCAGACGCTGTGTTCTCAGTGAGTATTTCTTTCTGTGTTCCCGTCAGACGCTGTGTTCTCAGTGAGTATTTCTTTCTGTGTTCTCAGTGAGTATTTCTTTCTGTGTTCCCGTCAGACGCTGTGTTCTCAGTGAGTATTTCTTTCTGTGTTCCCGCCAGACGCTGTGTTCTCAGTGAGTATTTCTTTCTGTGTTCCCGTCAGACGTTGTGTTCAGTGAGTATTTCTTTCTGTGTTCCCGTCAGACGTTGTGTTCAGTGAGTATTTCTTTCTGTGTTCCCGTCAGACGCTGTGTTCTCAGTGAGTATTTCTTTCTGTGTTCCCGTCAGACGTTGTGTTCAGTGAGTATTTCTTTCTGTGTTCCCGTCAGACGCTGTGTTCTCAGTGAGTATTTCTTTCTGTGTTCCCGTCAGACGTGTTCTCAGTGAGTATTTCTTTCTGTGTTCCCGTCAGACGCTGTGTTCTCAGTGAGTATTTGTTTCTGTGTTCCCGTCAGACGTTGTGTTCTCAGTGAGTATTTCTTTCTGTGTTCCCGTCAGACGTTGTGTTCTCAGTGAGTATTTCTTTCTGTGTTCCCGTCAGACGCTGTGTTCTCAGTGAGTATTTCTTTCTGTGTTCCCGTCAGACGCTGCCCCTCGGCGGTCACCTCGTGCTACTCACCACCACCTTCCTGACCCGGCTGAGCTCCACGCTACTCTACATCCTGGCGCGCTCATTTGAGGCCGTGAGTCCCTCTCTCTTCATGGGGTTTTTTACATTTTAGTTTTTGCTTTTTATATTTTTTTAGGAGGGGGGGGGGGTGTTGCTGATAGCCATTTGTTATGCAGTAATATGTAGTATGTACTGGGTCGTCTACATCTTGTTTGAGTTGGTCTTTGCTGATTGTTTGTTTATTTTGGTTTCAGTTTTGTAAAAGTTTCATGGCGTTCGCAACTACGTCAGGTCATAGGAGCGTGTGGGACTCGTGTTTGTTGTTTTGCGTTAGTTCACAGCACGTCTTGGGGAGGTTTTTGTTGGTGATTGTCAGACATACAGTCATGTAATGTTGAACTAAATGTTGTCAGACATGCAGTCATGTAATGTTTCACTAAATGCTGCTGAAGTAGCTGGGAAATACTCATGAAAAGTGAGCCGGGCTGACAAGAAGTATAGTTTGCACACTCTAAGGAACATTACAGCAACAGTAGCAAACCTGCACTTATCACTACACGGCTTGGGACAGAAAGGCGAGAGCCCAGCTGTTGCTGGATCGATAACAACAACAACAACAACAACAGCAACAACAACAACAACAACAACAACATAAATATGTTGCTATTATAAGACCCTTCAAATCCACAATGTGATGATCCACGTTGTATGGATACGATAGTAAAACAAGACGTACAGATAGGGTTAAGTGGTGGCACAGAGTTCCCCACGTCGTATGGATACGGTAGTAAAACACGACGTACGGATAGGGTTAAGTGATGGCACAGAATTCCCCACGTCGTATGGATACGATAGTAAAACACGACGTACGGATAGGGTTAAGTGGTGGCACAGAGTTCCCCATGTCGTATGGATACGATAGTAAAACACGACGTACGGATAGGGTTAAGTGGTGGCACAGAGTTCCCCATGTCGTATGGATACGATAGTAAAACACGACGTACGGATAGGGTTAAGTGGTGGCACAGAGTTCCCCACGTCGTATGGATACGATAGTAAAACAAGACGTACGGATAGAGTTAAGTGGTGGCACAGAGTTCCCCACGTCGTATGGACACGATAGTAAAACACGACGTACAGATAGGGTTAAGTGGTGGCACAGAGTTCCCCACGTCGTATGGATACGATAGTAAAACAAGACGTACGGATAGAGTTAAGTGGTGGCACAGAGTTCCCCACGTCGTATGGACACGATAGTAAAACACGACGTACAGATAGGGTTAAGTGGTGGCACAGAGTTCCCCACGTCGTATGGATACG